TATATATATATATATATATATATATACATATAATATCATCGTAAAATATATTATTCGATAATGCCAATGCGGAACGAGAGAGAATTATATATTCACGGTTTTCTTCGCGTAACAACACGAGCGTGTGCGACGTTTAAAATGCACACGCCGCCTATTCATAGAAAATTTCTCATATTCTCGAGATACCGCGTGTATTTAAAATGTCAAGAATTTGTAAGTGATATGAATTTTCGAGAGTTTATAAATGTGTAAATTTTCTTATTCCAAAAATATTAACAACATTTGTATAATATATAAATAAATTCACCAAACACACATCCCGCAAAATGTGTGACAGGCCTAACTTTGTCGGACTAATAACACTTCCGACATAAATCACGTGGTTACGATCGCAGCCGCGTGCCTCCGGTATTCGTAGCTCTCCGTATTAAGCGGAGCTCTAACCGCGACCTAATTCGAAGATAAGATAAGTCGTTAAGTGCACGGCGCGGCGGGTCTCCCTCTCGCGATACTACCCGGTGTTTTATTGCCGTGGCGCGGCCTACCCTCTCTTCCTCCCCACATTCCCCGCGGCCCTCCTTCGGGGCACGGTGTGAGATTTATTGTAAAATTCGATAGATATTGCCAATTACAACCCCCGCGGCGCTACCATCCCCCGGCGGATCGCGCTATCGACACAGACGGGAGCAGGCACCTTCCGGTCGCGCCTCGAGAATTTTAAATGCGTTTTATGTACAGAGACGACGCGGTACGTTGCATAAATCCGTCCCTCTGAAAATATGATTACGATCACTCCTCCTTCCCTTCGTATCACGTGCGAGAGACGGAAAGAGAGAGAGAGAGAGAGAGAAAGAGAGGGAGGTCACGGGAAAGAGATGAATAACACCAGCGCACACCTCCCTCCGCGTTTTCCCCGCAGACACCCTCAGACACGGACACGGCGATAAAACGTTTCATTTCGTCCCCGAGTGTCTCACGAGGAGGTCGAATAATCTCGTCAATTATTATTTTTACTACTGTCTTCTACATGCTAATTTTCTCGCCCGCGCGTATAGCGCGTCTCCGCTCCAGGATCATTGGCCGGCCGACGAAATATTTCGTCTGAAATGGCGCTCGCGAATGATGAATATGCAATTTGTTCGGTTCATCCCTCGAGATCGACGCGGCGCGTTCGCCAGCGGTGGTGTAACCGCCGCGCGATTCAAACATTCATCCGCGATGTGATTATTTACGGAATTATTATCGGAGACGACGTGTAAGTATATAAATGGATTTTGCGCGCGGAAATTGACGCGCGAAGTTGCCAAAATGTTTTTTCTCTCTCTCTCTCTCTCAGAGCTGTGTGTAATCTCGCAATTATTATACAACAACGACCGGAGATATCCGATAAATTTGTGCCAAATCGAAGTAATGGGACTAATTTATCACTCGAATCAACGTCATCATCGCGGGTAAAAAAAAAAAGAACGTTAGTCACTTCGTCTCTGGATTATCACCTCGCATTTATCAATATATATGTGCCATTATCGCACATTTTGAAACCTGTCAAACGAGGATATGAGTTAGTAAATAATAAAACGGAATAAAATTTCCAAACATTATTCCGACATTAGGTTCTCCAACGGAAGAAGGATGAGACGAGCGGAGCTCTCCCGTCCGTAATGTGTCGCGAGAATTTTTATCCCGGACCGTTAACTCATGTAACGGCGAGTAGACGTGCGCTCGCGCGCTTTCAAACGCGGTCGTCCGAGCGAGTTACGACCGGCCGGGCCTCTAAAAATAAATATGTTGTTTATTCACAAGTAAACCGGATGCCGTTGTTTGCTTTGGAGCAAATTGTTTTGTTAAGTTTTGCCGGAGCGCGAGAACGAGCTCGTCGCCCGCCTCCACGTGCGTGCGCGAAAGATAGAAACGCACGCGCTAGCTCGCTCGCTCGCGATATGAAGACGAGACGAGGAAGGACGAGAAGAGAGCACGACAAAGTCGACCATCTCGATCTCCTCTCTGTGCTTTTTCCGGTCTGTTTTGCCTCTCCGCCGTGATAAACTAGAAGATTCTAAGCTGCAGGCTGATTCTCTAACTAACACACACTGATAACCGCGACCGACATTACATATACGCCGCGTGTGTGTGTGTGTGTGTGAGGACGCGACGAACAGCTGACGTCGTAATCACGATTCTCGCGATGATAGCCGGATTGCGTCAGACACAACTCGCAATTTGCATTACCGATATGACTCACGAGTCAAAAATAAGATTAACGCGCTAATACTCTCATCTTGGAATGTGAGAACGCGTCGTTTCACAACAACACGCGCGTGTTAATTCGCATTTTTAACAGATGTGATAACGAAGCCACAGCAATTACGACAACAACATATTTCTACGCTTAGTTAATTCCACTATCTGATATGTCTAATTTTTATTTTTGTTTTTTTTTTATCACACGCGAATTAACAGAACGACTTCCGAAAATTCACAACACCGCGACAAAGATCTCCCGTAACGTCTACATTTACATATATAAACAAATAATTTTGAATAAAAACCGACACTGTGCGTGCGTGTAAATATACGACCCTCATCGCAATTAATTGCAAAACTCTAAAAATCTCTCTGATGAATCACACGCAGTGACTCAAAGTGCGACAGCGTCAGATTTTTACGGATTTATTTCCATTGATAACGCGAGCGTAATAAACGTGTAATAAAGCACGCGCTACTTTTCCAGTCGCTCGGCGCGAAACCAAAGAGAGTTAACATTGCAA